AGCAGGAGGCTCAGCTCCATGTGACTTCAAAGCAATCTCTGCAAGGAACGAGCAGTCCAGAGCAGATGAAAGACCAAACTTGGACTGCCCACCAGAAGCTCCTGCCTGGAGACTACAACTATTGCTGTGTTTTGGCTCAAGAGGCCAAGGAACAACCGTTAGCCACACGTGCCAAACTCCAGGCTGATGACCATCAAGGAAGGCAGAGACCAAGGATTCCCAAAATGGTGGGCTCTGCTCCAGGCTGGGGCTTTAAAGGTGTCTTGCCTCAGCCTCACGCTGACCACCTCATGCTGGGGCCAGGGAAAGCTCAGAGTTTGCCCTTCTGCTCCCTTCTGAAGTGGGTCTCTGAGCTAAAGCACTATGTTCAGCTGAGCAGACATCACCTAAAACTAAGTGCACCCAAGTTAGCCAGATTCATACTTTGGATTTTGGGGGAATTCAGTTTTCTGCATCAACTCATAAATCCAGAGTGAAGGTTTGGAAATGGATCCATTAAGACAAACAATGGACTTGAACCACTATCTATTCTCTTGAGAACCCCCCTCCTTCAGCACAGCCCACAATAAATAGTGCCCTCCATTAAAGAAACCCTCCTGTTCTTTCTCTGTACACAAAGCTGAGAAAGCTGCACATGAACTTCAGCTGACATTGAAGTGGTGCAGCATTTGAGGATCCATCCCACACAGGCTGAAATGTATAAGTAAAATTGCTTTTCCTCATGTGGAAACATGAAGATTTTCATTGTGCAGGTGACCAAGGACTAGCTCAGGTTGCCAGGGAGGTTGTGGAATCTCTATCCTCGGAGATATTCAAAAGCCACCTGGATGTGGTCCAGGCAGCTTGCTGTAGATGGCCCTGCTTGAGCAGGGACACTGACCAGATGATCTCCAGATGTCCCTGCCAACCTCCACTCTTCTGTGGTTCTCTGAAAGCAGACCTGTGTCTCTCATCTGTGCAGCTCCAGGACCTGCCTACTGATGGAGAAAGGCTTTTTACAATTAAAAACTGAACAACAAAAAAACCACTGGGAGCCTTTGACACACAGTGACTGGAGGAACACTCCCTGGCAAGACCCTTCAGAAAAGCAAGGCACCCTTGCCACTGTGATGTCCTTCACCTCAAACTTGTGATGTCTCACCTAGAACACTTACCTTAACATTTACAGTATTAACAGAATACATTTCTATTTCTATCAAAGACATGCTTGTTCATCAAAGAGCTCCAGCACACTAACGGTAAGTAAACTCACCATAAAAACACCTCTAAGTAGTACCTGGTTGCATCAAGCACCAGCTGGCATACAAAAACATTTTAAAAATACAAGTATGTCTATTTACCTTGCTTCAAGAGTTAGATTCACTTCCCCAAAAGCCAGAGAGTGCACTCTGCAATCAGAATATTGTAGCTGGCTGGCCAAGAAATGCTCTGGACATGATCAGGTCACCACTAGGGATCTTCATTCCATCTGTATTTATTGAAAAATATGTACATATTGATCACCACACAACTAGCTGCTTTCACAGCACCTTTACATAGAAGAGGTAATGAAGAACATCACGCTAGGATGTGGAAGAGTGGTGAAATGTCTTTTCAAATGTCTTTTTTTTTTTTGGTAAGCAAAGCAAGTTCTCAGACTGAGTGTGCTGGGGTCCCACAGTGTGTGCGCCACAGATCAACAGCCTTGCTGACAATGGCATCAGTGTTATCTTGAGGAATCTACAAAAGATCAGGGCGAGACACCTTGTCAGAGCACAACACACCTAGAATCCCACCTCCCTGCCCCACCATCCCACCATCCCTCAGCCCTACAGGTGCCATATTACCTCCTGGTTTTAAGACAAAAAGATTTTATTTGCAGAACAGTAAAATGAGCAACCAGGAATCTCACGCTTCACACGCCCCTAACCCGACGTCAGGCAGAACTCACACAGCCACGATACAAACATTCCTAACCCAGGTTCCAGTGGATCCTACAGCCCTCCTGTGGTGCTCAGTGCTGTTCAGAGAAGGGAAGCTCAGGGTCAGGTCCACAGCCCCATCCTTACCTCCACTGGAAACATCTTCAGTCTACAGACTCACACTCGGGCAAGGAGCAAGGATGGTGCCAGAAACCAGCCCTCTAAGGAGCTTCCATAAAAATTAACCTAACCTCATCTGCACTTGCTTTCACAGAAAAAGCCTTTAATATCACAAGGAACACTGTCAAATCTGTACAAACATAGCAACATATTCCCCAAAGCCTAAAAATCATTTCATTCTAGGAAAGCCTTACCTCCTGACAGACAAAAACTATTATTCTCACCCCTGCACACCCCCTCTTCACCTTGGCACTACCAGACTATTCTCAGTAAGTAAAGTAATAGTACACAATAGAGTACTTACATTTTCCAAAAACTGTGTGATCTTTTCTGCAGTATTCAGTGCTATTATCTTCATTTTAAAGGTCAATAATATCTCCAGAGCAACAAAAACAAGAATCTTGCAGGACCCACTAATAACTTTGTCCCAAACTCTAAAAAAAAAGGCAAATTTAAAGAAATCACTAAACATTATTGTAGTGCTTATCTGCTTATTTATCCACTAGAGCAGTGTTCACACAATCACCTTTTTCCAGATTATTTTTTCTGAAAAATGGCAATGAATTAAATTAGTTGGGTCAGGGTAAATAAAAGACATTTGATAAACTCCTAAATCTGTACAGAGCAGAGTGATGGCAAGCAGTAATGCATTGATATGGTGTGTTCTTGTTTAGAAATTTAACTGTTTACAAACTCAAATACAAAAAAAAAAAAAGATTAAAATCTCATTTTTATAGCCTGAACTGTGACAACTATTCTCCAGTATATGGTAAAGGTGAGAATTTTTCCTACTGAAAGAAAAAACCAACACAAACTTTATTAGCATGCCTAACAAAGACAACCTTCAAACAATTAAGTAGCTGAAAATTCAAAATCATGTAACACTGAATGACTACACCTCAAAAAGCTAAATACTCCAGGTCATTGCTGTATGAGATACAAAGGTGATACGTGAGCAGGACAGAATCCCTGATGTTTAAATTAGACCCAAGGAACCAACTGTTAAGTCTTTCAGCCCACCCCACTGTGCACAGACTCTCAGAATCCCCCAAGCGTTCCCACCACCTGTAAAAAACTGCACCTGAACCTCACAGCTCCAACAAAAACTGAAGGACAGGTCTCCAAAGCCTGCAAGTGCTTCAGCAACAGGACTCTAGTGAAGATTAAAAGGGATACACACTACCAAAGCAGTCGGCAACGATCTGAAATCATCCTTCCTCCAGCAGCTCTGTCTCAGGCCCAGCTCGACAGACTGGGGATGAAGGATTATCCAAAAGCAGTGTGAAACCATCTGTCAGATGGCAGCTTTGATGGGCTTGCATTATTTTTAGTTCTTGAATTTTAAGAGCTGTGTCAGAAAGACCTTCTGCAGATGACTGTTCCAGCTCCTTCTGGGCACTTGTTAAAATGAAAACTGTTCCAAATAAAAACATGGGGGACAAAGGTCACATACTATCCTCCACAATCTCCAAATACAGCAACACTGACTGGAAAACATCTTCTGCAGCCCACCTATAAACTTGGATTTATGAGTGTGCTTCTCCCAAAGACAACTCAATTTCTGTATGACCTTCTCTCTCAGGATTTGCCCTTCAGCCTGGAGTGCCAGGAGAACACAGCACGGGCATAACAACTTTGACAGCTGAATTGAAGAGCTGGTGTCACACCTTTAAACAAGGAGTTAAGAAGTGAGAGTGAAACAAGGAGCCACAAAGATGCTGAAGGAATTGGAGCATCTCTCCCATGAGGAAAGGCTGAGAGAGCTGGGGCTGTTGAGCAGGCTCAGGGGGGATCACATCAGTGACCAGCAATACCCAAAGGGACAATGCAGACAGGATGGAGTCAGGCTCTTCCCAGTGGTGCCCAGTGACAGGATCAGAAGCAACTGGTGCAGGCTGCCCAGGGAGATGGAGTCTCCCTCCTTGGAGACCTTCAACAGCTACCTGGACATGGTCCAGGGCAGTCTGCTCTAGGTGCCTCCAGAGGTGTCTGCCAACCTCAAACCTCCTGTAACTTTTATGTGAAGAGCTTTTATAGCTCCTGGTGTGGATTGCTAGCTGCTGTTACTCAGTGCTGATCTTCCACAGTGCCTCAAGTCAGTTTCTTCACCTTCTATTCAGGTAACTTCTAACACTATTTTCACAACCTCTCCATTCATAAAAAAAATTAGACTAGAATGTAACTTATAATTAGGAAATGAGGAAAAGGCTATGTAAAATCCTCAGGACTACTCTTAAGGAAGAAGGAAACCAATAAAAAACCCACAAGGACAGATGGGGAAAAAGGCACTGCCAATTTCTTTCCCCATAGCAATAGTTTTAATTCTCTGTCTTGCTATGATTAAAAAGTGAATAGAATCCCCATACGGGCAGGAACAAGAAATAATCCAAGATTAAAATCTTAAAGAATCATAGAATTGGTTTGGGTGGAAGAAACCTTTAAGTTCATCAAGTCCAGCCATTAAAAACACAAATCTTACTGCTTCCATTGTGGTTCAAGCATCCCAGACAAGTGATGGTTGTAAGTATTACACTGATGTTGAAAGCAGGTCTAGAAGGTTTACGGGAGACTATGAGGAAACTGAGCCCACATTCCTGTTCCACACAGTGCAGGTCATCCCCGTTCACTTCTGTGTCTTCCTTCACAAAAATACCTGTTTAGAACCCAAAAGCAGCTCCCCCCATGTTTCATGGGCATCAGAATGGTAGTTATGAATGACAACACAGAGACTAGCAGACCTCGGGAACAGGAAAGGCTTTTTGAAGTCCATATTAAAGCTCACATAAATTCAAAACCAAACTTATTAAGCCTCATAAAAAATAGGCAGCCTTCTTCCATTATTTTGCTGTCAAGTCTCCTGCTTTCAATCTCCATAATTACACTACAGCAGGTTACACTTCAGGCTCAGGAAACAGTCTGATGTTTTCCTGCATATTTAGTCTGATTCCAGAGCAAACGTTTTAACAATGGCAAAGCAGATGCAGCCTCTACATCACCAGTGTCTAACAAATTTTGGAATTTGTTAGATGAGATGTCAGCACTGAGCAGCTGTGTCTGCTGCAGTGTTTTTCCCCCTCACGTTCCTAGCTATTGTCACTCCCAACACAACTCCACCACGGCAGCCGTGTCAGAGATTCCACCTCTTACCCATTTTTGGATACTTTTAGAGATAGGATCAGTTTAACAGAAATGCCACACAGCTGTGCCTACAATTCATGCAGGACATGCAGATACAGATATAAAACTACAGAAGCTATAGAAAGCTATGGAAACATGGGGGACATCAATGCATGAGGTGGTGCCAGTTTGAAAGACAATTGTAGGATTTCAGCAGAACTACCAAATTGCCACCAACAAGTTACCAGGGGCCAGCAATCCAACACCACCCCACCAGCTGTTATGGTCCTGCTACTGCCACAGCTTCAGGGCAGAACCCAAACAACAGGAGTCAGGGCTGGGATACGTGACTGGCAACACCAGCCCACAAAAAATGCCTGGCTTGTTCACAGTTGTATCTGCAAGGCTGCACGACTTCTGCTGTGGCTGGATCATCTGGGGAGACAGTGCTGGAATAAACTGGCAGTCAGAGGGGTGTTTTGCCTGGAGAGCTGAAGCCACAAAGGGGACACCAAGCTTTAGCAGCAGAGCTCTCCTGCTGAGGGCCCACAAACACCACTTGAAAACTCTCCCTCCACACGGAGCTCTCCAGATATTCTGTTGAAGACTTCACAGCATCATTTTGGCTGGAAAAGACCTTTAAGATCATCAAGTCCAACCATTCCCCAGCACTGCCAGGTCCCCACTGACCCATGTCCCTCAGCACCACATCTCCACAGCTTGGAAATCCCTCCAGGGATGGGGACTCCACCACTGCCCTGGGCAGCCTGGGACAGGGCTTCACAGCCCTTCTGGGGAAGGAGTTTTTCCTAATGCCCCATCTAAACCTCCCCTGGCAAACAGGGCAACAGCGAGTACAAAACTCAAGGTGTGACCCACTCCCCTCTCCACTTCAGAAAGGCCTTTCTGTCCCCCTCAAGCCTGTGCTACAGGCTGGTTCATGTCCAAAAAGCACCCTGTCTGTATTCCAGGTGGGATGCAGAGCCTCCAAAATGGCCAGTCTGCTCCTCTCTTTTACCAATGTGACACCTTTAGGAAGTTTGCTAAGAAGCTTGTCACATCCTACATCAAGTGTATCAGGGCAAGCAAATACATAGGCTCAAAGGAAAAGTTTCTACATACATTGCCCAAGTCCATTTAAATTTAACTGGTGCACAAATTTTACCTACAGTGTAACTAGAAGTGTGCTAATAAAACAGTATTTATGCTGAATGCCAGTGCCTGTCAGGAGTAAAGCTGGTATTATGCAACTTCATCTCACCATTATTGGATAAAATTTCTGCATAGGACAGACAAACCTTTTACACCAAGAAAAAACAATATTTACATGTAGCTGCTTGGCAGAGAAGACTACAATTTATATAAATCAAGCAACCTCTCCAAGATCAAACCTTTTACACCAAGAAAAAACAATGACATTTAGATGTATCTGCTTGGCAGTGAAGACTACAATTTATAGAAATCAAGCAACCTCTCCAAGAAATACAGTGCTAAATCCTATGTTAAATTAAATCATAAAAGACTGAGCTCAGATCATCTCTCACTTGACAAAAAAAGTAAGTAAAACTCACAGGAGAATTGGAGACCTGTTTTCAATTCTCAGCAGTTCCATCACTGCCATTTGGATACATTTCAGATAAGCATTCAGGCTTCTAGATTCTAATCCAAACTGAATCTCCAAGCATTAATTAAGTTCATCTGTCACATGCTACCCATGAAGTATGTTATTTCCTTAGCAAATGAGGCCATTATGATTACAACTGAATAATTCAGAAACCTAAACTGGCAAGAAAAAGTACAGTTTTATCATGTTCCCACAAGAACTGCTGGGAAAAGAGACTGAACACTGAAACTTGGGTCTACTCCAGAGTGATACAGAAAGCAAATAGTTTGACCTTTTTCATGAGGAAAAAAGAAATGCATTTCCAAAATTTGAGGTCATGAAAACATTCTACTTCAGTAAGGTAAAGCAGGATGAGAATGCTGAACAGTACAGCAACTAGGCAAAAGGTTTTATGGAAATGAACTGATTCAAAATTACACAAGTTTGAAACTAAAGATTCTGACAAGATGAAATACAAAATCAAAATTCTTCACCTAGGCTCTTTTACACTATTAAGATGACACAGCTCCATGAAATGTTCAATTTTCAACAGAAATTTAAAGAAACCCTGGCTCTTCCAATAGCAAAACCACTACACAGAGATGAGTGTTTTGGAGCTTTGTATGTGCTTGATGAAAGAACTTGCCATGCCACACTTACCGTGCTGCACACAGCAGTAACACCTCAAGGTCTACTACAACATTCTGCAGTTTTGGTTCAAAATATTGTTCTTCTCTCAGACTTAGGTCCTTGCCCTACATCCATACAGAACCCCAAAGACCATGGCATGACAAGACTAGAGCACGTGAATTTTAATTTTACAGCTTTTTTCCCCAAATCCCCTTATTTTCACAAGGGCAAATAAAACTTTTTTCAAAACAGCTGTTTCCCACTTTCCCTTCATGAAATGTGAAGCCCCAGGTAAACAAGCAAGATGACTTTCACTACTCAGGCTATGAGCAGCTTTACAACCATGAAGCATTTTCTTCTTTAAGGGCATTATACAAAGCTCTCTGTTTCCACGCTAGGTTCCTATTCTAGCCACTGAAGTTCTGGAGGTGCTGGAGAAAAACTTCCCTTAAACTCTGCTACCTCTCAAAGTTTTCAGGCAGCTGAAAATGAAACCATTGTTTTCTTTGTGCCACCTCCTGCCCAGCTGTTAGCAACTCTTGCTAATGCAGGAAGGATATGCTTCTCTACATCTAGCTTGAGTTCTCTGCTTTCCAGTAGTTGTCAGGCAACACAGAGAAATCACAAAAACTTCATTGCAAAAGTCCTTCAGAGAAGGGCCACACACCAGAATTTTCCCATTTTAAAAGCTGGGTGACCTATTTCTAACTGTAGAACTCTGGTATAATGCACTATTTCTTTACCTTTGGAATACTCAACCTGCCCTAGTACTTTTTAAAATAAACACTGTCATGGTTTAAGCCCAGCCAGTAACTGAGCACCACACAGCGCTCACTCATTTCACCTCACATGGTAAGAACTAGAAGGGTTCAAGTGAGAAAAACTCATGGGTTGAGATGGAAGCAGTGTAATAATTTAAAAGAAATATTAAAAAAAAAAAAAAATTGATGAAAAGAAATAACAGAGGCAAGAAATGATCACGCAGAGATTATATTGCATCGATAACAAGTGGAATCAAATCCAATGCTATAATTTCTAAGTCAATAATAAATTTAACCCCATAACCTTACAGATAAAGTCAGGAAAGCTCTTTGCCTGCTACTGATGACAAACAGCTAAAATTGCTATGGAATTGCAAACAGAAAGGAAAAAAAAAAGAGAACTTGCCTCTGTAAGCTGGACTCTGGTAAGCAGCCTGCAAAGCACTTTTTAAACCAAAGATCGTAGGGGAGTTTGCTCATTGCAGAACATGCTTTCAGGTGCAGCAGGAGCCTGTTATCTTCAATGTTCAAATACTGCTCCAGAACTTTTGGCTGAGAAAGGAATTGGAAAATTTTAGGTAATTCACATCAGAGTGCCCTCTATAGTTAACACACACTGTAAGACAAGAAATGTCTTAAAAATTCGATCAGCATAACATGTTAAAATAATGAACTTGCAGTGTTTTCAGGTGCCTCAAACTGCTGGGCAGTAGCAGAACTTCCAAAACATGCAGTATTCCCTATTCCAAGGAGCTGTCTGAGAACTCAATGCAATGCAAAGACTAAACATGCACTACTTGCTGCTACCTTCACAAGTAAAATGTGAAAAAATTCACATGTTAAGAAAAAAAATACACATACTAGAGCAAAACCAGAAAATCAATTCTGAGAGTAAATCCCCATGCAAAATATTAAAGGCTGGACACTGACTTCTTGCTTAAAGAATCCAAAGTATTTAGAAGCACAAACATGTCGATAATTATCTTCATTTTAATGTAAATAACTTAATCTTGTTTAAATTCTCATTTAACATGACACATTTTCATGAATTCAGGAGCATCTTTATGCTTTTTGTCCTAATTAGGAAAACAGCTAATGACTTCAGCTGTCAAAGGGATAAAACACTTCCTTTGTCTAAATTCTAATATTCAGAGTCTTGGTACAACACCTGCATTAAAAAAAAATTAAAGAGGAAGATACTTGGCACTCTTTATGTAGTGAGAGCATATTCTTCTTTTAAAAATGCCCCTCTATCCTTGGAAAGGAATTACAGAAATTGGTACAGCTGAATGTATCACCTCCAGAGACAGGAGGTCAGCTTAAAAAGTATTTCCTAGTGCCAAAAAAAACCACCAAAGGACACAATTTTCTGCAACAACTTCTGGTACTTCTATCTCAGTGGATATTGTAAACTAACATTTCCTTATCTATTAAGTCTATTTGAAGAATTACAAAAGCTTTTGTAATTTTTATAAGTATGCATTTTCTTTACAATCCAATTTTAATTTTTATAAACGAGTAAGACTGATTCTTCTGATTCTGTTTTTGCAGAGGACTTAATAGTGTTGGCTTGATGGTTGGACTTGATGATCTTGGAGGTCTCATCCAGCCTAACTGATTGTATGATTCTAAGACAGAAATTAAAAATTAATATCCTGAGAGCATTTAAACAGTCAGTGCCAAAAGAACTCTATTCCACTTTTTATTTTAACTGAATTTGTAACAGGCTCTTTGTCTGAAGACATAGCACCCTGCTCCATTCCTAAAGCAGAACAATTATGCTTTGTCTGTCTTCCAATGAGTAGCACAAGGATGCCAGACACAAAGCCTAAAAAGTAGCAGTCATGCATCAAGTTGTTCTGAACTTTGTGACAATTTAAATGTTTAAAATGAAGAAAATTCTTAACTGACCAGTTTGTGAGAAATATAATTCAATGAGATACATCAAGCTTTACCTAATCTAAAAAGAAAGTAAGATTTAATTGAAAACTACCATGTACACAAGGTGTCCTATGGGACAGCACAAACATAAAGCAAAAAAAGCACTCCTCCCACTTCCTCAAACTGGCTGGTGGCACAGAAGCCAGGAGTGTCACCTCTGAGGCTCTGCTTGTCTCCATATGTTCATGACTTCCATGACTGGCTCTCCTCACAAGGAAAACCAAGTGTTTTTCCTTACCAGCTGTTGTAATGAATCTTTGTGCTTGCTGTTCAGCTGATTCACAAAGCAGCTGACAAGCCAGTAGCATTCTATAGGATCCTCCACCATCTCCTCCATTGCTCTGGCAATAGCAAGGAACACTTCATCTTCAGCTTCCTGGAACACAAAGCCAAAGAAGTGAACTACACAGAAGTACTGGACTAGCTGATTTAAATTATTCTTGTATGCCTCTTCCTTGCTATTTGGGAAAACAAATTGGAATCTACATGTGCAAAGAGCTGTTCTGACATCCATAAATAAAACATCAGGCAGCAGCTGCATTACAGTGACAAATACCTATTTAGCAGAACAAGACTTGTCTTGCTTTTAAAACCAAAACATGCAAAAGGAGTTTGGAACAACTCTGATTCAAAGTTCTCAAATGAGATATTACATCCCAACAAGGCAGCAATAATCCTACTTCTGCATCCCACATTTATACACTGGATAGCAGCAGAATTTTTCATTTTATTCCTTGCTAAGGGCCAACAGGCCCCTCAAACACCTTTGTCATGGATGTTACAGTTACTGAAAAAAAAAACCACAGTAATGAGCTGTATGCCTACCTTTAAGATACAGAAAATAATCTGGTTTGAAATAGACATCTTCTTAGAGACAAGTATCTTATTCCCCACAATATATGACCAGAAGCATGTGATGGGCAGGCCACCATCTTCTCTCCTGAGGATACACTTTCCTAAGAGAAGTATCAGCATGCCTAGACCACAGTTAAGGGTATGACTGCACAGAGGGCAGACAGAGGTGAACTAAGTCTACACCAGCCAGACCTCATGCTAACAGCTAGCTCAGGAAGTGTCTGAACTGGGAAGATGGACAAAGAAAGGCTCTGTATTTGCTCCATATCTTAACAGTCCTCCTTACATTAGGAAGCAGGATAAGGAGATGGATACATACCCACCATCAGATCCAGTGTAACCAGCAGCAGCAGCAAGCTGTAGCACCACAGGCTTCTGCACAGATCACAACTCATGCAGAACACATGGAGAGTCAAAATACTCCTGGGCTACACCTCTGCTAAAGAGACTGCTGCAATACACACAACCCTACTCAAACCCTCTGCTTTCAGATGCACAAAACATATTTACCAGGCTGCTCTGATTTGTGACTCAGACATTTCAAAATATTTAGACCATTCCAACATCATCTTCATACTCCCTCTGCCTTCACAATAAACATCTGCATTGCCATCAAACAGTAACCTCTTGTAAGCTTAAGGGGACAGTTACTGAACTGAAAATGGGCTGGCACAAAGAGAACAAATGCTTTCTGCAGCAAAACAAACCTAAGTTATGAGACTAATGACTGTGGATCTGCTAAACTCCCTAGATATCCAGGATGGTCATGTTCCTAGGCAATGGTAAGGGCACATCACCATTGCAAAAAAAACCACTCTTCATCCTCTGATAACAGAATCCAGTCCAAAATATTACTGAATTTTCCATGCTGACTCTATTTATTATTTCTTTTTAACAGATGAGGAATATCAAAGCAAGCAGGGCTAGAGTGAATATGGATAAATTAACATTAAATACAGGATATAATCCACTTCACAAAGTCCCATGGTTCCTTTCATCACCTCCTCTTTCATAGAGGCTTATATGTAAGATCCATACATTGTTTTTATCATCAGACTATAGGATTATCATCAAAACAGACTCATTTGTCCAAATGTGAGCACCCTGTAAACTACAGAGCATACCCATTACCTGACAGAAGCCTGGATCACTTCAGAGTAACAGAGAAACGAGGTCAGTACATTAAAGTCTAGATTTAAAAAAGAATTTAAATATATTATGTAATTTGTAATAAATTGCTGCTTGTACTGTCTCTGAATTATCCTTGTTCCAGGGCATTTAAGAATCTCCGAGTTCCAATAAGATTATGTCATTTCCATTTCAGTGTTAAGAAGAAACTGAAGAGTACTAGAGTACAAAAGGCTTGAAGCCTAGCAGGCAAAATACACAAAAGAGATTTTAAGGCATGAAATCTTACATAAGTACTTAGGGGAAGGAAAAAACCCACTTTGACTAAAATCCCTCATACTAGTATTGCTCTGTTTTCCATTCACCTGATTTGTCTCTCTCTGTGCATTTGTGGGGCTACTTGCAGTTCAGTTTCTCACAGGCTTCTAGTTCGAAGTGAAATAAATGACTCTATTTAGAAGACTGTTAAAATGACAACTGACCAATGGAAAAGCCAGGTTTCGAGGCAGTTTTCCTGATTCCAGCTGATGCACACGGAGGAAAACGTCCACCTGCGGGGTGGAGTCGTTAATGAAGCGAATGACACGCAGAGCGTGGTGAACGTCCCAGTACTGCTCCTTCCTGTACTTCATCACCAGGGCATGAGACTCGTGGTGAGGAGGAACAATCCCTCAAAAAAGAAACAACAGAGAAAAAACATAAGCAACTGTAAAGACAAAAACCAGAGCACTCAAATGCCCTTTCCAAGAGAGCGGCCTGAATTCAATTTCTCCTATGATTCCATCCTCCAGAAACTTAGGACCTGGCACTGCAGTTTGTTTATAAACTTGGTCAAAGAACACAGGGAGAAAAGTCTAGAAAATTGCAAGTCAATAGAGCAACAAAGCACTTTAGGGTGATGTTTATAAAAACAAATTTCACACATTAACTGAGCAGAGGCAAAAATCTACCCTCAGGCTATTGTTTCTCAAGCTCTTCCACAAGGTTTTCAGCAAATGAAGGCCAACTCTTTTGCATACCACAACAGTGTGCTGGTAAGAAACGTCACTGAGACAGATGAAAACATTTAATTGGTTTATTCTCCCTCTCTAACAACCTTTCTCTATTTTTAAACTGTGAATCTAACTTGTTACTTGTTTATATCTACCTGCAGTTTTCCATACAGTACTTTGTATGGAATATTTGTTTTCAAACCGAAAGGGAGCTGGGCACAAAGTGGATGCAGAATGATTTTTATATACATTAGCTGTTCATTTCCTCAAATTCTACACTTTGAGATGACCAGAGATTGTATACATGCAATTAACTAATGCAAAGTCACTGCACTTTCCAGTATTATTTAATTGACTGTTGGATCTCTGCCAGAAAATTCTTTTCTCACTGTATGACAGATCAATCCTCTCTAAAACAACATTCAGAAGTAAAATCAATCACATAGGTTGAACTATTTACAAATTAAAACTTAAGAATAACACCCAAACACTTTGCAAGGTGACATTTTTTACTTTCTCAGCACAATACAAATTTTTTTTTCTGGTTTCCTAGGAGGAAAAATAAAAAATTGTCAATGTATCTAAGGCAGAGAAAATTAAACTGCTTGTGATCTCCAGATGCTCAACATTGCACTTGACCCTGCCCCTCACTTAAGACCAAATCTTACCATGGGCTGATGTTCACAACAAAACTTTCAGGGGCTTCAAGAGAAAAAACATCTGACATACACCAAAGCAAAAAAAGTGCCACTTCAGCATCACTAATGGAACAGAATTCTTCCTGTTGTAGCAACCCACGAGAACAAAGTATTCTTCAAAAATCAGTTCTGAAACAGGCTACCTGCTGCTTTTATCTCTCAGTTAAAGAAAAAAAACATTCCTGCCAAGTGTTAAACCACAAAATAGCTGAGTTTTAGTAACAAGCACACCAGAAAGAAAATGATCTTTTATTTTTCAACTGCAAACCTGTCTGCACTTCAAAAACTGGGACCGAGCAAGACTTTTCACATTATGCAAAAACAGAGTCAACATCCTGACTTTGTGTGTACATACTGCCAGCTGCTTTCCTCAAACACACAACACTACCTGAGGCAGACAGAAAAGAAGCTTCAACAACACAGGGATGTCTAGAAACCACCATGAGTCGCACTTGCACAGGAGTTAACAGAGACATCACTGACAGATCCTGTAATCTGGGACAGCACCGAGCCTTGGTACGTGTCTGAGGGAGTTCTGCTGGCAGCATGGCACCCCTTTTGTTAAGCTATTAACATTATTCAGAGGAGATGTAACAGCTCCCACCAGAAATGGCCTGGGCTCTTGTTCCACTCATTCAGGAAGAGGTATTTTGCATTGCCTTTCCAAATGACAGCTTTTCTAACCAAGGTGCAGCATAAGAAAAGTCCTTGCACCTCTGCTGACCCAAGAAGTACACAGAATGACACTGTACAGGCTTGAAATAAATCACTCTGGGTTTAAGACACAAAACCCTTTTAAAAAATCAATATTTTCCC